ATAAATGAAGATAACATGAAATAACAAAAAGGAGAAAGAAACAAATATGACATCATTAAAATATTTGAAGTCTTTTTTTAAATTAAAAAATTATTGAAATATAGTTGTTTTACAGCCATATTTCAGGCATTAGTTTCAAGGGTACACGAAGTGAATTTTATATATATACATATGTATATATTTTTGCACTCTTTTCCCATTGCAGGTTATTCCAAGATACTGAGTGTAGGTCCCTGTGCTGTGCGGTAGGCCCTTGCTGGTTCTCATCTGTGTTATCGGTAGCAGTGTGTATCGCTTAGTCCCAGACTGTGTGGTAGGCCCTTTCTGGTTCTCATCTGTGTTATCTGTAGCAGTGTGTATCGCTTAGTCCCAGACTGTGTGGTAGGCCCTTGCTGGTTCTCATCTGTGTTATCTGTAGCAGTGTGTATCGCTTAGTCACAGACTTCCTGATTCGTCCCACCCTCTTCTTTAGTACCCGTAAGTTTGTTTTCTGTGTCTGTGAGTCTTATTTCTATTTTGTAAATAAGTTCATTTGTATTATCCTTTTTAGATTCCACATATAAACTTATCATATGATACTTGTCTTTCTCTGTCTGGATCATTTCTGATAACCCCTAGGTCCATCTATGTTGCAGCAAATGGCATTATTTCATTCTTTTCTTGTGGCTGAGTAATATCCCATTGTAATATTTGAAGTCTTAAAAAAATCTAGGGTTAGCCCCTGCATCTTCCATTTGTTGGTCATATAACCTTTGATTTCACCATTCTTAATTTTAGTAGTCCTATCTGTGAAGAGGAAACCAGAATTCTTGATGTATGTATCTTGTAGGATTGTAATGAACGCGAAATAGAATAATGGGTGTCAAAGAACTTTACAACCTATAACAAAGTCTTACATAGTAGGTTTTGGAGTATATTATTTGGTTAACATGTAACATCTAGAGTTTTTTGGGGAGGAGTGTAGTGATATTTTCCAAACAGAGACCTCCAAGGTAGCACAAAGGCAAGATTCATAGGGAAGATAGCTTAACAAAGTCTCGCTCTGATTTTTTTTTTTTAAAAGAAGGGGGTGCAAACTATAATGAATACTTTACTTTGTGGATAGCTTTATATTTTAGAAAGTAGAGAAAGCAGTGAAATAAATGAGGTTTAATTTTTGGACAAGGAGCAAGAATGATTGTGATTTGAAAGCACTGGACAAAGAAAGAAAATGGAAAGAAAGTACCCAACTTATCTGAGAATAAAGATTTGTACTATATTTATAAATGCTAAACATATTTGGAGTATGGGGTAATGGGAGAATATGTAAAGAAATGATTGCATTGTCTCAGATTCTTAAAGGAACACTGGCTCAAGTCAGATGAGAATCTTACAATTGTTGAATCTAATGAAATACAATATTTGATGAAGAAATGGGAAGCATGGTAACTGGACAAGGAAGTGCAATTGAACTCATATTTTTAATAAAGATCCAGAGAAAAGACTAAAGGAGGCTCAGTTAAACACACAGCATTGTGAAAGAATACCAAACAGCTCAGAATGAGCTGCAATTTGAGAACAGTGCTAAATACAAGAAGCAGGAAATTTTATTTGTAATAAGAAAAGTTGGACAGGATTCTAACTGTAGGTATGGATGTCATGATGTTAACACATGAAGCAAAAAGCGATAACACCATGGTTTTATTTGAATTCCATCTTCTCCAATAAATAGGAAGTGGTTGAAATACAGAATCCCTTTTCTCCACACAGCATATTTAGAACCAGTAGAAAAGTTACCCCAAGAGAGGCACCATGAAAGGTGGAACGTGGTATAAATTTTTAGTCACTGAAAATCTGATGGTCTAGCCCAGAAGGTAGTGAAACTTCCATCTCTAGAGGTGCTCAAGTAAAGGTCACATCATTAATATCACTATTGAGTGGACCTGAAGTTGGAGTAGTTTGTTGTGTTCACTTGCTCAGTCATGTCTGACTGTTTGCTGCCCCATGGACTGTAGCCCTCCAAGCTCCTCTGTCCGTGGGATTTCCCAGGCAAGAATACTAGAGGAGATTGCCATTTCCTTCTCCAGGAGATCTTCCCAACCTGTGTCTCCTGCTTGGCAGACAGATTCTTTACTTCTGAGCCATCTGGGAAGCCCCCAAAATACAGGATGCCTGGTTAAATTTGAATTTTAGATAAACAATGAATAATGTTTTAGTATGAGTATATATAAGATATTTTGCCTAGAAAGCCTTCTTCTAGACATTTTTTCCCCCAATGACTCTCTGGGTCCATTTCCCCCCTCTCTTATTGTACAGGAAATAGGGAATAAAGAAATTACCAGAGCAGCATAGCCCAGCACTACTTACAGACCTGACTTCAGGGGTTTTCTCGAGTGTATTAAGTTAGAATCCTTAGAATCACAAAATTGAAAGGAACTCCTGTGTGAAATCTGGAAAATTCCTTAATTTTAAGAGGAAAATGAATGATTTGGCTTTTCCAAGACAGAACATAATGATACAGAAAGTTGTTTGCCACAGTTATTGGTTGCTTTTAAGAAAGTTTATGGATTCTCCTTTATTGTAGATGATTCAAAACCATTTAAAATTCATCCTTCTTTTGCTTGTGGGAATGGAAGATAAACTCTTCCAAGTACCTTTTTGCTCTGGAAGCCTATTTTTAAGTCTTACCAGAATTCCCCTGAGGTATAATCCCTTCACAGTTTTTTAGGACTAAGTTTTTCAGCTCATCGATCCCTGAAGTTCCAGTAACTTCACAGATAGTTGTGGGGATAATTTAAGCAAGTCCCATTTCCCCCCAATTTCCTTTTCCACAACTTTACAAAATAACCCAAGCGTGGGACATTTTGTAAGTGTGACAGCCTGGTTTTCAGCCTCTCCTGGGGTTAGAAGCTCTTGTGGCTAACCTTTGAAGAACTAACTCAAAGGAGGAATCCCTTAAATAGATTGTTGTTGTTCAGTCGTTGTTCAGTCACTAAGTTGTGTCTGACTCTTTGGGACCCTGTGGACCGTAGCCCACCAAGCTCCTCTGTCCTTGGAATTTCCCAAGCAAGAATACTGGAGTGGGTTGCCATTCCCCTCTGTGTTCAATAGATTACAAAATGTAATTCATTCTTTGTTGCTTGAATAACATATAAAATGATAGTAATGTTGCTGGGCATGAGGGTGGGGTGAATATCTGACTTATAACTAAAGCCATGTGCCTGAAAAAGGACATTTTAAAATATCCTGCAAAATTTTCTATTATGCATGATTTTTTTCAATGTCAGTACTTCCATAAAACCATTTTACTCATTCCATGAAAGAAGCCATAGAAGTTAGCTAAAATTAGCAAGTTTTTGTCATATTGAAGGACACTTTCCAAGATGTTTCAGCATATTCAACCTAATTCCCTTGTCTACTCCTGCATGTCTCCTTTAAACTAATAGACTTTTCCATGTAACATGTGGTCAAAATCACTTAATACAACCCTAACAATCATTTGAGCTTCCCTGGTGCTCAGTAGAGAGAATCCACCTGCAATGTAGGAGAAGCAGATTTTATCCCTGGGTCAAGAAGATCCCCTGGAGAAGAAAATCGCAACCCACTCCGGTATTTTTGCAGAGGAAACTGGCAGGCTATATAGTTCATGCAGGTCACGGAAGAGCCGGACACAACCGTAGCAATGAAACAGCAGCAGTCATCTGAGCTCCTGGGCTTCTCCTCTCCATCTAAGCGCTGGCTCCCTAGACTGACAGAGCTGCCTGGCTTGTTCCAAGCAGACGAATGGGACTGTCCCAGACCGAGCTCTCAGCTCTAACACGGAGGTAACGCCTGTGTTCTCTGTATTCTGTCAGGAGCTCCTCGTAATGTAGGAAAGAACTATATTCAGAAAGGGCTGTCTCTATCAACATCATGTGTGGAGCTCACAGTGCTTAGAATAAATGTATCTGCTCTAAGCTCTAAAGACCTGTGCATACACGGGATATATTCAGAGCTTCCTGAGGCAAATTTTGTATGAATTCTTTGATCTTCCTGGCAAAGGCCCCAATACTTTTATGTTAAGAAAACAAATGGGAAACTCAGAGGCAACGAAAGTACTAAGTACTTAATTTAGGGCCTGGGTTGTTCCTCAGCCTTCTCAACTGATTATGTCAGATGGGATGGTGAAGGTTAGAAAATTCACTAAACTTCCAAAGTGACTAACTCATTGCTATCTGGTAGAGCAATGGATGTTAGAGTATTTAAAATCTGATTTGGGTGATGGCCGTGCCAAATGCTTCATTTGAGTTATGTGATATATTAAAACGTGGGGCTTCCTAGGTGGTACTAGTGGTAAAGAACCTGCCTGCCAATGCAGGAAGTGTAAGAGATGTGGATTTGATCCCTGCATCGGAAGATCCCCTGGAGGAGGAAATGGCAGCACACTCCAGTGTTCTTGCCTGGAGAATCCCATGGACAGAGGAGCCTGGCAGGCTACAGTGCATGGGGCTGTGAAGAGTCAGGCATGACTGAGGTGACTTATCATATATGCATAGCATGCATGCATGCAATATATTAAAGATTACAATGTCTAATAAATCATATTCTCTTTGACTTCTTAGAATCTGGGATAGGAACTATAGGTCTTGGGAATGTCTTGCAAAAACCCCTGGTTCAAAAATATAGAAGCAACTTCAGTGACATCTCTGGGTCAGTATAGATTCAAGACTCTTACTAGATTCTTGTTTAAGTGTCTGAAGGTCACAGTCTTAAGACAATCTGACTGGGAAACTGGAAGGTTCTAAGCAAAGTATTTGACCTCTTAAAGGATCCCTGATCTATCAAGCACACGTAGGAGTTCTGACTCTCATGTTTAAACCTACTTCTGGAAGTTAACCCCGCATGTTTCACTGGATCTTTGTGATAGCTGAAATATTGGGGAATTTGAGGTGCTCTTTGTATGCGTTTGAACAGGGTTATTGCATTTCATTGGTATGTTCCAAAGTCAGAGTGGAAAACAGCTGTTAATTGTCATATCATCTTTTCTTGCAGTGTCTGAAGACTTGGGTGATACCAATAACCATCCCTGGGTGCAAGCTGGAATTCAGGCAGCAGGGTAAGCAGAAAGAGAGGTCTCTTGTTCTTTCAGAGTCCTGTGAAAAGGAATGCTTGGGTATGAGTGCAGCTGTGATGCTCCGTGGGTTTGGATTCCAGGAGAGGGACTCTTAACAGCTGTTGTTTTCTTTCTATAGGGCAAATGTGAGAACAGCTTTACATGGGAAGAAGTGGACAGTTTGGACTTAGGTGCTGGGCATTTAATTGAGTGTTAGAAAGCCAGATGCCCAGCCCTTTGGGATCCAGGAAGCTCCTGGTCCCCTTGGGAGTTTAATTTAGAAGAAGGAGAGCTACTTGCTCCTAGCTACCTAACCACAAAGCAGTCTAGAGGAACCTCCCAGTGTCATTCACTAGATTATCCTATCTAACATGAAGTAAAAGAGACAAATGGATATCTGCAGGTGAGTCAAGACTCACCTACAGATCTACTTAAAATCCACCACTCTTGTTCAAACTAGTATCAAGTTGTTAGAACTATGAAACATTATGTGTATTTCCTGATACTGTTTCCACTCGAACAGGCGCTCAGCCACACAGCTTGTTAGACTCCTAGTGACTCCATGGACTGTAGCTCACTAAACAACTCTGTCTGTGGGGTTTTCCCAGCAAGAACACTACAGTGGGTTGCCACTTCCTACTCCAGGAGATCCTCCCCATCCAGGGATCAGACCCACGTCTCCTGCATTGCAGGCAGATTCTTTACTGCTGAGCCACTGGGGAAGCATTTTTACTCAAAAAACTCGGTAATTAATACATAGTATAGAGTTTCACACAACTGAGAGACTGACACTTTTCACTTTTTTTCTTTTCCATTGGACTGAGGGTGAGATGAAGTATCCTTCTGAAACAAACTGAACTTTTTTTGTACAATGGAATTACACTCTCACTGAGGACATTCAGGGTAAAAAAAGTACAGAAAAATGAGAATAGGCTGGGGCTTGATGCTTAATAAGCAACCAGAATGACAGTGAAAAGTGAAAGTCGCTCAGTCATGTCTGACTCTTTGTAACCCCATGGACTATACAGTCCATGAAATTCTCCAGGCCAGAATACTGGAGTGGGTAGCCTTTCCCTTCTCCTGGGGATCTTCCAAACCCAGGGATTGAACCCAGGTCTCCCACACAAAAATAGGGTGTTTTAATAAATATAGAGGGGGCATAATAGATGGTTCCACATGGTAGATGGAACCATAATAGATGGTCAGGCATGTGCCCAGAGCTCACCTGGTAGACTTTATCTCAGCAGATCCTATTGAGACTGCTAATGCATTGCTTTCTTTGGACAGATTTGTTAGGAATAGTGAGAGTCTGAGCTTATTAGAAATTCCAGGAGGATATAAGGAGCTAGAACAGACATGGGCTGAAAATAATTAAAATGTATTGGGAAGTGGGATACCAAAGGCAGAGAATATAGTTTGGGGTGACCCGGTTTGTCTTTGTCTGAAATGGCACAGTCTTGATCTGGGATCAAGTAGTGACAGTGAAAGAGGAGCACAAATAAGACAAGCATAGCAATAATAAAACGATAGATATGTGATACGAATTTTGAACATGAAGTCACCAAACTACTGGTCAAAATATTATTCAAAACACTACAAATTTTAGATATATACCTAGAAGATTCAGGAATCTGGCTCTTCAGGGGCTATTTAGCTGCCCCCTCCAAATGAAATAAACCCATACATTTAGGGTACAAACTATGAGTCATCTATAGAACTTAGCCTTAGGCCAGAGCTTAATAAATATTTGCAGAGTAAGTTAATAGAATCGCAAAGAACACACCTAAGACAGATAAATAGTTTACTCTGTTTCTGCCTCAAACGTCCCAGTGTTCCTGATTGTAAGTAGACAATGTATAAAGGATGCTCAGATGACAGACACAAAAGTTAAAGACATTACATCTTTTCACCAAAAGTATATCTGATTTTAAGATATAGTATTGGTCCAAACCAATATCTATTTTTGCTACCTCTTTTAAAACAAACCTAAAAATAGTTTTTAGACGCAAAATATATGATAACCTTTGTTTATTTTAGTTACTAAGAGACAGCTACACAGAGGGCCTCACTTTCCTCAGGTTTCTTTAAAATGCCAAGAAGTGTCACTTTTCCACTTGCTAAACCTGAACTTCTACTAGTAGGATGTGCTTTAATTGGATCTATAAAAGCAGTTCCCCTAGAGTATAGTTACAACTAGTTTACAGAAACCAATTCAGGGCTTACAGAGAGAGGAAAACAGCAGCAACAACACTGAAAAGCTGCAAGTCTTCTTTTGCTCAGCTTAGTATTTAGAGGAAAAAGTGAGGGGGTTAAGCTTCAGTGGTTCATTTGGATGACAATTGTTGCCCCCTTGGACTGGATGAAACACACTGTTTCATTTCTTTTTGTGTAGTTTTCCCCAGCGTTTCAGGATCATGACGTTATTAAAGCTGTNCTTTTGCTCAGCTTAGTATTTAGAGGAAAAAGTGAGGGGGTTAAGCTTCAGTGGTTCATTTGGATGACAATTGTTGCCCCCTTGGACTGGATGAAGCGCATTGTTTCATTTCTTTTTGTGTAGTTTTCCCCAGTGTTTCAGGATCATGGCGTTATTAAAGCTGTGAACAGTAATGTTTGCCCACTGGCAATAGTTCATTCTAGAGTTTTCAGAGTAATGGTGAACATTGTTAGATCAATGAAATTGACAGATAACTCAAGAGGGTTTTCTTATTCAATAAACAATTTCAACATTCCTAGAGAATACAGTTTTTAAGCCTGTTTTTCTGTTGTGAGATTTTGCTTTTTGTAATGGTTGTTTTTAACAGTAGTTACATAACAGGTAGGAGAGGCACAGTATTGATCTGTTTTTTGATTCAGTTGTCTTGTTTACTTATTTTGGACTTTTCTGTATTTCAGTCTTATCTGGTAGAAATGCAAGTAGACAGTTGAATAGTTAAAGGAGAGGCAACCAGAGGAAGAAAGGTAAATAGCCTTGATAATCCATACACTAGCTAATCATCCACCTAATTTTTGAGAGTTGATTGGATTCACAGGGCATGAAATAGAGTCATGTAAAGTTTTTCTAACTAAACTTCAACTTCACAGTAAAAAACTTTGTGAAGTTCAGAAATCAAATACTAAGTTAGAACACACCAGAGATGACTTAGAACCCAAAGCAGAAAATAGAAAAGCAGATATTTGGGGAAACTAGCTGAGTCAGCACAGTGCTTATTGGAAATGGTAGCCTCCACACGGAAGTCTCTCTGCAGCCCTGAGGATAAATAGTTTTGTTCCCTGGATCATTTGTGGGCCGAGTTAGGTCAGCACTTTTCTCTGCTTTGCGCCTGTATGTGTGCTAAGTCACTTCAGTCGTGTCCGGCTTTTTGCTCCCGGATGGACTGCAGCCCACCAGGCTTCTCTGTCCCTGGGATTCTCCAGGCAAGAGTACTAGAGTGGGTTGCCATGTCCTCCTCCAGGGGATCTTCCAGACACAGGGCTCGAACCCAAATTTCTTACGTCTCTCTTGCATTGGGAGGCAGGTTCTTTACCACTAGCACCACCTGGGAATAGGCAAAATCATATTCTCCATGAACACATTTTCTTGGGGGGGGTAGGGAGCATCATTTCAGTAAATTGGAAAAATATGAATTTATTATTAGAGTTGGAACATATTGGATCAATTTGGAATTTAGATCATATTGGAACAATATGAATTTATTAATAGATTACTAATAGATTATTTTTTGTGACTTTGTTAGTAAGTTTTATTGACTAATTAACATGACAAGAATCAGTCAGTCCTGGTGATTCTTAGGATCCTAAAAAGTATCATTTAGGTCAAAGCATGCTGGTTAGAAACTCTGTTTTGAAATTCTGACTCCCTATTTTAGATTTTTGACTCCTTAAAAACAGCCATTTCACTTGATATGGATTTTTTAGCTAAGAAATGACTCTTCAGTATTTAAAAAATAGCATTAAATAATGGAGAAATCTTTTCAAGGACACATTAATCTCATCAAAACTCTCAAAAGGCAACTTTTGCATTTTGTTATCTGTTATGTATAATGTTTTTATTGTATGACATAGAAATAAAATTGGTTTTTCAGTTCAGTTTTTAAGTATTATGTACTATCCAGCCTTGCTTGGTTTCATATGTATTGATTTAAATATAACTAGACTGAATATAAGTGACCAAGAATACGGAACATGTTAAACTATGGAATTGGGGGCTTCTCTCTTATCAGATACTTTGTTCTACAGTGTTGTTCTACAACTTTTCCTTTACTTTTCTTTCCTGGGCTTTTGTTTGTTCTGTTTTCACAATTTGGGCGTGTTCTAAGTCCAAGTACCCAGCTCAATTTGTTGAAAGCCTTGTCTCTGAAGTCCTAAGCTATAAGAGAGATGGCTGTAGAATAGAGTTGATATCATATGCAAACAATATTGTGTGGTACACATAGAGATGTGTTAAGAGGGTAGATTTCATGTTAAATATTCTTAGCACAGTAGTTTTTAAAAAGCAGGAGGGAGAGAGTTAAAAAAAAAGGATTTGGGGATCACAGGTCACACATGTCAGGACTAAAAAGCCATTCAAGAGTGTTGAAAAGAGAAAGATACACTTCCAGTGATGGAATTACCTGGGTGGTCAGGAACTGGCTAGGTTGAAGCCACTAAAACTAGAGTAAACTAAAATCCCAGGAAGGAAAATAGGGAGGACACCAGGTGCATTGAGCCAGTGCAGGGTGTGAAAGTACTTTCAGATTCATTTCGAGCTTCCCTGCGGTTTAGTGAAGTCCTGCCGAGCAGGCACTGAGTTCTGCTTCTACTGAGATCTGGCTCAGCCAGACACTGCCTTCTACGATTTTCATCTCAGACGGTTTCTCTTCGATGAAATCTCTTTGGTATCCCCTAAGCTACAATTAATATATCCCCTCAACACCCCACCAGTATTCCCGTTGTATTTTCACTTTCTAATTCAGCTTAATAAATATTGAGTGGCTACAATGTTTCAGACATTCTGCTAGGAAATA